CTTTTTTCCTATTCATAGCTGTGCAGAACTGAGAAAAGTAAACTTTAATGGGTTTTCGAACACGCTCTTTCTAGTAGAGCAAACAGAACTACGTAAAACAAAAGCTTTGGAAGTATTTACCAATAAGCCATTTCACGGTTGTGGTTTTTAGACTTTTTTCAAGGATCAATCGATCAAATATCTTTTGGGGGAAAACAATGAAACCTCACACATCAGGTTTTTCGAGTTTGAACTTCAGAAAACCTCGAAAAATCAACAAATGAGCTATTTTTTGATCCACCAGACGGAGAAAAAATCGCAAAGATTCTCTGAAAGCGTTTTTTGACAAGAATAATTCCAACAGGTACACCACCTGCAGGTAATTTTTCCCGCTCAATTGCTCCTAAGCTAGTAGATAATGCTGCCTAGAGGTGTATTGCGTAAATTGTAGGTTTCTATCTTGTTTCTATCAGAAGTTATTTTGAAAATATCACGGGTCACCGTTAATTTAATATATTAGGAAATTGCACCTCTATTATCTCAGCCGGTAGACCTTTGGTAGTTCGAAAATTTTTACCTGGTACTCAGAAAATTATGGGAAATAGTCTGGTCGACTCAGATTTTTGATAAAGTTACTTAAATTTTTTCCACAAATTGTAAACTTACAACTAAAATACGATTCACTCATATGTGAAATATTCGTCTAAAACATAACCTTGTTTTTATTTTAACAACAAATAAAATGGATTATATAACGCAAAGATTGATAATAAAACTTAAAACGACAAAAACAATAATTACACTGATATATAGAATAAAATACAACATAACACAAACCAAAAAACATCGCATTTACATAGATTCAAACTGTTTTCATAAAATTATTTACAATAACCAGACCTATGCGCGCGAACCAAAGAAAAACAAAACAACCGTTGGGGCCTGTGTGAGTAGTGATTATTTAAATCATGACAAGTGTCGAACCCGAAAAGACAAGCAGTATCATTATCATGCTTTGTATATACACTTAAAAACTGTTCAAACTATTTTCGTTTCGGTCAATTATTTTATCAGTTGTACACATGCTTAACTATTATATCAAACAATAAACAAATTAAATTCAAATGTATTCAAGATCAATGTAGAACATATCTGCTTCTTTATGACTTATTTATATCAGTCTTTTCTTTTTATCCGTTGATTGTTTGAAAAAAGAAAATTTTGAATATTTATGGTGTTGTGACTGTTGATGATGGAAGTGATGATCGTTCATTGGAACACTACAACACAAATACAGTATTAGCTGAGATGGCAACTGATTATAAAAAACAAAGATTAATGCATTATCAAGTTTACCAGAGGAAGACTATCATTTTAGTATATCAAGACGTTGAATGTCACTACTTCTTGTATGAAAAAACTTTTACTCTTTCTCATTCTTTACAAATACAAAAATTACCTAAAAAAGCAATTATAGGAACTTTATGTGTATAATTCCAACAGAGAAATCTCAAACTCTTAACAATCCTAATGGATTTATCGACTCAAAAATGAAAAGGCTAAAATTTATATTTTTCTTTCTCAAAAAATTAAAATATATTTAAACTTACATCAATAAGAAATTTTCGTATTTGATGTGCATAATCGTTGGCTAACCATGTAGTATTGTGCATACCATCTGGAAAACTTTGTAAACACTTTTTTGTACTTTTACATTCCTTAAACAAGACGAAAAAAAATAAATACATTTAACTAATTATTTTCTCTCAAAAAATAATAGGTACTTCAAATAACTTAAGCATCATCATAGTTGGCACAAGTTCGTCTTGTTCGCCCGATAAAAATAGAACAGGAACTTTAATGTGACGTATTTTTGATAGCGAAGAAAACTAAATAAAGCAATATATAAAATTTTTTCTTAAAAATATGTTCATAGAATACTTACGACATTTTTATAACACCAGTTAGGTACATAATCTAATACGAATACTTGAAATAAACGTTTTGCCATATCAGGTATACTAGTAAATGTATTTTCGACCATAACACATAATAATGGTGGTTTTGCATTTGTTTGTCCAAGTTGAGATGCTAAAATAAACAAATTATTTGTTATAATAATAAAATATCTTTCATTACTATCTACCTAGGTGAAGGGCAACAGCGCCTCCAAGAGATCGACCAAATAGAAATATCTTCTCTTGATTTAAATCTTCTCGTTTTCGTACAAAATCGTATACAGCTTGAGCATCCGTGTATAAACCAGTTTCAGATGGTGTACCAGTAGATTTTCCATATCCACGATAATCAAACAACAAAATATTAATACCACAATGTCTATATAATATATGAGCATTTTGAAGTCTATGACCAATATTTCCAGCATTTCCATGAAAGAATATCATTGTCTCTTTCTCATTGTAGCGACTTTGTTGTTTAATAAGAAATCCATGTAATTTTTCATTATCTGGCGTTTCGATTGTCAGTGTTTCATACTGCATACCCATACTATCTGGTGACATAACAATGGCTCGAGATGTATCCGGCTCATTTGGTTGAAATAATAAAGAATCTTGGAACCCATACAATGAACCTGTAGAAAAATATGTTTTTAATTGGAATTAAAGGAGAAACAGTTCATAGGCAAAATAAACATCAATACATACTTATTTGTTGTTGGGCACTCGTAAAGAAAGAAGTTATTGACTGCATTTTTTTACAAAAAATTACACAAGGAATTCTCAAATGTTAAATCTTTTTCATCTGCTTTATAAGCACATATCAATCTAAAAAATAGTTTAATATGACAAAGATAACTGATTTAATAATAGTACGCAAATCACGTGCTCATGACAAATCTCCTTGAGACGCTAAACAAGAAGTATCTTACGGACAACGTATAGATAACAAAAGTAGCTGTTATTAAGGATAACCTTCTTTCTTTTTTTGAAAAAAATTCCAGTTTTCAGTTGCTAATGTAGAGGAAAGTCTGGGTTACAATATAAGACCGCTCCAAGCCTTCCAGGATATTCTTGGAAGAAGTTATGAATTTTTAAATATTTTTTCCAGAAGCCTAAAAACATAAATGTTTCTCTCGTTTTCAGCATCTTGAAAACATTTTCTTAGGCACAATCTGATAGAGTAAAGTGCTCTCTTTACAAAAGGACGTCATCAAAAGTTTTCTGATAATTCTTCATGAAGATAATATAATAATTATCTTCATGAAGAATTATCTTATTTTAATTATGATATAATCATTAAAAAAGTACACTATCTAATATTATTTGTAATACTAAAGTAGTACTTAATCACGAGCGGTTCTATATCGCCGATACTTCAGATCGTATCTCAGATTCTGAATTTTTTTTAAGCGTTTTCAACGTCAACTTTCGGCATGAGAAGGTTTTTAAAATCAAAAGCCGAGTTTTTCGAGTAATTCGAGAAGGAAAGCATATTTTTTAAAAGAAATAATTTAGAATCTGAGACGGAGTTTGAAGTATCTGTAACAAAACTTTGGACTTGATCGGAGCATTTTTTCGAGGGATCGCAATACGATTGCATGAAAACTAGACTTTTCCAGAAAACCCACAGAAGAGTTTGACCCAAAGTTCTGAACAAAAATACATCGAATTTCTATCTCTAGTATAAATTTATAGCCAATCGGGTCATTTCTTCCACCTTTGCCAATAGGGTAAACAACGAGGGATGGGTACCCTTGATATTCTTCTACCAAGAGATTCAAAAATTTGGGTTAGATGGAATAAACTACTTCAGTTCAAATTAGTACTAAATAAGACACTAAATATATCTATAAGAAATAGCATAATTGAATAGCATCTGCCTAAACAATAGTACAAAAAGAAGGCAATAGTGAAGGTATCTCATGTGCTCTTGATCTAAATAGCATAATCAGCTCATACAAGAAAAAGTGACGACGATACAACGGTGATGATGGCTATAAATTTCATCACATGATCAATCACTTTTAGAGGACACTCTTTTAAAAATAAAAAAAGAAGATAGATAATATGAATATTCTTGGTTGTAAATATTGTTTAGACAAATTATATATACAAAACTTCCAAAGCATTCTATACATAGAACTAAGACAAAAAATAAAAACAACAATAAACAATCCCAAATATACTCTCATTTTAGTTATAACTATTCCAGTTTGTTTATTCCCATTTTGTTCACGTGTACCATCATAAATTGATATCTGAATAAAACCAAGAAAAATATTCAACCACTGTGTATTAAAGAAAAAAAATCGAAAAAAGATTTGAGACCAAAAAAGCTTGATATACATTTCTTTTTAAACACATCACTTCGCCAGGAAATAGATAAACATTCTCTTCGTTCACGGTTAAAATAAGATCTAGATTGAAATAAAACCGTAGATAAGAAGAGTTTAGCATGAAAAGCGAAACTATACAGAAGAAAAAATATTGTATCCATGAACAAACGGAAAACATCGATGAAAAAGAGGAGCGAAACGCTTAAAGGCGCTGCTGAGGTCTCTCTGGTATCAATGATGAAAAAATTGTTGTTATTGCAATGAAAAATAATCGTATAGGCGTTATATGATTGTCATTTACAATCGGAACTGGTGCACCAGGCTAAAATTAAAGAAAATTTATAGATATTATACACAGAAAGAACATTCGCTATTGCGGAAAATATGAACTGTAGAAAAAGTCACTTTACTGGAAAGGAAGTTACTCATACTAGGGCTTCATTGGTTGATGCGTTTCTTTTGACTACATTAATTTCATATGCCTTGAGACTAGTAGTGTTATTGTGACTTTTTCTCTATTTCACTTATTTTTCTCTCGAACCGAGAGGTGTAAAGTACCGTTAGATTTCCGTGCTGAATATCATTGGCATTTAGTAGGTCATTAGGAGCATTTGGTATTGGAGTTTGTTCCACGTTCTCCTGACTTCTTTCTACCGGTTGTTGGAGTGGAATATCAGGCTGATTTGCATCTGGTTGTGCTTGCGCTGGCTGTTGTCGTCGTGGTTGTGTACCGACAGGTGGAGGAGTTGGATGTCGTATGACCGGACGTCTTCTACGACGTGATAATGTTAAATAGCCTCGACAATGACTGAAATGAAGAAAAAATAGATGATGGTGTTTAAGAATAAGTATAATCTTACTTACAAATACAGTATTGCAAATATGATAAATACGATCAAAAATCGATGAAATGTGGAATAAAAATAAATAATCGAACATAATACAAACAATTCTGCAAGCATATGCAATGTTCCGAGTAAATCATCTTCTCTCTCGTTATGCGGCCTTTCAGCCTGTGGTCTCTCTAATGGTACTGGAGCTTCTGGAGGTTGAACAGGTGACGGTGGCCTGTGAGAATCGTTTATCGTAGCATTCTGTGATTGTGTGACATTTTGACTTTGATTGCTGTTTGATGGAATTGTGAAAAATGGATTATAAATCCCGGATGTATTGCCAGTTTGAGCGGATAACAAGTTCTGACTACGAAAAAAGATATATGCGAAATATTGCTTCGCTGAAAACGTGAACCACTTACTGCATTGAATAATAAATACTGCAATACTGCAAATAGGCCATGTTGTTTATCGAATTAGGATTGCTAGGTCCCATCATAAAACTAAAAATAACTAAAGATGAATTAACTAAAAGACTAACGTAGAAGGACTAATGCTACAACCTTTGTAATTGCTGGTTATAATTATTCAGCTGCTCATAATATTCTTCGTAAGCAGAAGAATGTAGAATATCCCTTGTTTCTTTCTCATTATTACGATTAGGACAAAGCGAATTTGTTGCTGTTTGTGCATTGGTTGTTCGCTGACGTAATTCACTTTCGTTCTGCGAAACATGTGTTGTCGTTGTCGGTGTTGATTTAGCTGTCTGATACAAGAAAACAGAGAAACAATTATTTCAAATTTAGCTCAAGGTGTGAGAAAAATCCTTACGGGAATTTCAGCACTCAACACCATATGGATTGTAGCGGTGATCAATCGTACTGTCTAAACGTACAAATGTTGAAACTAATCGTTCGCTAAACATTTTCCAGTTACTTACTGGTTTAAATATTTGATCTAATTTAGTTGAATCTTCGAGTAGTTTTCCCGAATAAATTAAACGTTGGTTTTTCGGGGGCTAAAAGGAAAAACAGAATACAGATTTTTTGTAATCATTTCGAAACGAACATACCGGTTTCGTCGGATGCGTTAAAGACAAATTCTGTTTTAATTCATACACAGTAGAAGATAACGGAAGCGAAATATGAAAATCAGAATGTTTATTATTACTAGCCATACGAATAATAAGATTTGCAGCTGCAGTAGTTACGGAAGCCATCTAAAAAACAAAATTGTCGATCAATTTTCTTTTAGAACATATTCACATGACACAATTTAACATCATCATGAAAGAAGCTAACCAAATAAAAGTTAATGGAAGAAAAGATTTACACTAACACTCAAAAATTTCGCATGTTCATTTGTGACATGTGAATTATTTCTGAGAGACAATAGCCAGTTGAAGGGCAAAATATATATATATATATTTCTTCCATTTAATTATGACGTAACGCACCATATGTTATGACCTGATTAGCTGAAAAGCTTGCCAAATCAATGTTAGTTAGGTTCTATGTCAGAAAGCCACTGAGGATTTGATACCTACGAAGAAAAAATCGCCATTGCATCATACTTCAGTCTCCTTGGGCTGTTTCACACTACTGCTTGAGTAAAACGAAAAAAAGAAAAGAAAATGTGTGTGCCGTTTTCTCCAATTATTGGAACTGTTTGATGAAATTAAGTATTTAACATTTGCTCAGAACAAATATTATCAGTCTTTGCATCGTTTTCAAGGAACTTGTAAGATGTCGCTAGGAGAAAGTATACAGTGGCACTATAAGCAACGATAACTTATTTACTTGTTTGTGTCCTTCTTAAGTTTATATCTTTTTATTTACTTATTTGGTCAGCGGAGGACGTCGCGTTACAGGCGAGTAACGTTTGGTGATCTGTTACGTTTCGTAAAGATATGGATTCAAATCATATTGTATCAAATCATTCAACTCTTACCATCCATAGTATCTTTTCATAACGTATTAAAAGCACTGTGTGCTTCTTTGATAAAAAAAAGAGGAAAACTTCGATCTTTCTAATCTTTCTCATTATTGCTTAAATGTACTCTAAAACTAAACATATTAAAACATTCTTTCTCTATGTTCTGTCCTCCTTACTAAACTTCATTGTTCACCATTATTTCTCTTCTTCTGTTATTGTTGTTGTTGTGTAATATACTTTTTTAAAAAAGGAAAATTTTTAATGATTGTTTAAATCCGCCATTTTGTCTAGAATGTTAACCTACTAAAAAATTCCGTAGCAGCTTATCCTGGCCTATATAAATCGAGTACTGCTATCCCCAGTCGACTCAAACGGGGAATGTATGCGATTGAACTGATTAACTCGTTCAGTGCGCGTTTGAACGTGTTTCGAACGCGTTCACATCATTTTGAACGTGTGCGCAGTATAATTTTTCAATATAGAGGTAATTGTCGCACCAACATGGTTTTGTGTTCAATGTTTTCGATAGTAGTTTTGGTGGGGGTGGCGAGCCTGCTGAGTAACTAAAGTTTTTCATCGAGTAACGCATTTTTTGACTAAAATTTTTTTCTGAATAACTGAGTTACTCAGAAAAAAATGAGTTCCTCAGAAGCTGGAGAAAATCACTTACTCAGGTGCATAAAAGGCAGTTTCTCTACTTAAATTTCTTAAAAACTTTGAGTAAGTCAAAATTTTTTGAGTAACTGTATCCAAACGAGGGGGTGGTATGCCACCTCCTGATCGATAACGCTGTTTCTGTTAATCATATATTATATATATATATATGTTTTTTTGGATCAAGATAATCTTTCGACAGTTTGTTTCAGCAAATTTATCGAATAAGATTAACCCACAAAAAAATATACGGAGATTTTTTTTCTTTCGTCATAGAATCAGGCCGCCCTAGTCGACTCTCCCCCTGAAAGTCCCCGGGGACTCCCCGAAAAATGCATAATCCCCGGGGACTCCCCAGGGAGTCCCCCTCCAAGTCCCTGGGGAGTCCCTAAAAATGTGTACTCCCCGGGGA